AAATACCACTGCCAGTATTTGGCAAAACTGATTAAAGGCAGGTCTTTTGGCTCTTTCCTCTGTGCACATTCCAGAGTCTTCTATAGGTACACTGGTGGCAGGTTAGAAAATATTCTCTTCCCTGTTGCTCTGGTAGTCGAGGGAGCTTAGGTGTCCATCGCTGGGGATTGGGTCATTAAACATGGTGGATGTACACTATGGAATGATGCCTCTCAAACTTTACCATGCATGGAATCCTCTGGGGATCTTGTTATGATGCACACTGATTTAGTTGACCTGGACTGAGGTCCAAGACTCTGCATTCCTTATAAGCTCCAGAAATCCCATGATGCTGTTTCCTGGACCACACTGGGAGAAGTAAGGGTATAACCTTGAGCCGTCTCATCCAATAGAACTTTCAGACATGATGGAGATAGTCTGCATCTGTACTGGCAGCCAATGACCACATATGGTTTCTGAGCACCTCAGCAAGTATGACTAAGAAATCACATTTTAAAATGGTTCTAATTTTAATTAAAAATTAAATAACCATATGATATATCTAATGGGCACCATATTGGTCAGCACATGTCTGGAAGACTCTGGACAGTAAGAAGCAATAAATGAGATGGACAAATGGCTCCTTTTGTTTAAAAGAGCATTTGGGGAAGTCTGAACACTATGTTTTTACTACTTCAGTGTGACTCCTCTCCTACACTTCCCTCCCTTCATGCCCTGTTACACTGAATACAAGAGGACTGTTGATCTCATTTGATGTATTAGTTTATACACTACTAAGAAAAAGGAGCTGCTAGTTAAATTATGACATGGTGTCATTACCTGGTGCTCAACCAGTTGTGAGGTGCCACCCAATTCCAAAGGTATTAAAATGTGGACAGAATGTACATCTTGGAATCAATAAAATATGGTATTCAACCACCACAGCTGGGTTGGTGAGTTGGAAATTGCATTAAACTACTTTCACTTCGTTTTATAGAAGGATGCAGGCAGATTATTACGGCATGGGCTGAATCATCTCGTCAGGGCTGAGGCTACCCAGCTATGAAGGTTCTTCTGACTCCTTTCTCCCACAGAGCTTGTATGGCTGCCACATGTGGAGTCACAGTATGTGTGTGTGTTGCCTTGACACAGAGGGCGCATCCTCCATAAACCTAGGCGCGGACACCGTAAGACAAGAATATTATAGGCCATTATCCCTGGTAAACATAGATGCAAAGTCGTCAGCAAAATACTGGGAAGCAGAATTAAAGAGATAATGAAAAGCTCATAACACCCTGACTAAGTGAGATTTATCCCTGGGAGCAAGAAGGGCTCAGTGTATTAAAAAATGTGATGTGCTCCATTAGCCGAATGACGGGCAAAATAATGCAATCGTCTCACTAGATGCAGAAAAATCACTTGACGTAACACAAAATCCTTTCAAAATAAAGACCCTTGATGAATGACGTATAGGAGTAATGCACTTCACATACAGAAGGCCGTGTGTGACCAGCCCCCAGCTAACGCACCCCGTGCTCTGAGATCAGAACAAGGACTCCCACTGCAACTACCTCCTTGCTTTTCTTCCCTCCATCCCTCCTTTCCTTCCTTCCTTCCTTCCTTCCTTCCTTCCTCTCTTTTTTGTGGTGCTGGGAATCAAACCAGGGCTTCATGAACGCTAGGCCCACAGTCTACCCCTGAGCTTCACCCTCCCTCCACTGTCGGTATTTCTATTCAACATCGTCGGGGCAGTCCTGGGCAGAGCAATCAGATATTCAAACCTGAAAGGAAGAAATGAAATTGTCTGTTTTCAGATGACATGATCTTTTATATAGAAAACCCTGAGGAGTCCACCAAAAAAAAAAAAAAAATCTTAAGAACTAGTAAATGAATGTAGTTCAGTGGCAGGATACCAAATCAACATACAAACATTCACTTGTGTTTCTTATATACTAACAACAAACTATCGGAGAAAGATTAAGAAGACAATCCCATTGATAATAGCATCAGAAATAATAAAATACCTAGAAATAAATTCAACCAAGTAGGTGAAAGATCTGTGCACTGAAAACTATAAAACATTGAAGAAATTGAAGATGACACAAGTCAATGTGAAGATATCCCATGTTCACGGACTGGAGGAAATAGCATTGTTAAAATGTCCTTACTGAACAGAGTGGTCTACAGGTTTAACGCAACCCCTCCCTATCAACCCAGTGGCATTTTTCACAGAAATAGAAAAAGAAATAATTCTAAAACTCATGGAAACACAAACATAATTGGATATCCAAAGCAATCTTGAGCAAGAAGCACAAAACTATAGGCATCACGGTGCCTGATCTCAAAATCTACCATACAGCCACGTAATCAAAACAGCATCATATCAGCATGAAGTCAGACGTGCAGAGCCAGGGAACAGAGTAGAGAGCCTGGAAGACTCTGGACAGTGAGAAGCAATAAATGAGAAGGACAAATGGCTCTTCTTGTTTAAAAGAGCCTTTGGTGAAGTCTGAACACTACTCTATTTACCACTTCAGTGTGACTCCTCACCTACACTTCCCTCCTTCAGGCATTCACTGCCAAGTTATCTCCAAGAAAGATGCCAAGGACACATAGTGCAGAAAGGACAGTCCCCAAAGAGCGCTGCTGGGAAAACCGAATGTCCACATGGAGAATGAAATTGGATCCCTGCCTCACACCATACACAAAAAACAATGGATTAAGGACTTTAACATAAGACCTGAAACTCTAAAACCACCAGAAGAAAACACAGGGGGAAACTTCTTGGCATTTGAATGTGACCCCCAAATCACCAGCAATGGAAAAAAAGATGAGTAATCACATCAAACTAAAAAGCTTTTATGTAGCAAGGGGAACAATCAGGAGTGATTTCCCCCCACCTACGGAGTGGGAGAGAATATTTGCAGATTATACATCAGATGAAGAGTTAATATCCAAATATATAGTAAAGGAACCCAATAGCAAGATCACAAGAAATCCAATAAAAAATGGGACCTGAATAGACATTTCTCAAAAGGTGTGAATGGCCAAGAGATATATAAAAAGGTGCTCAGTGTCACCAACTAATCATCAGGCTGAGGCACATTGAGATATCACCTCAAGAGATGACCCACCCTGCACTCTTGTAAGAACTTATAGAAATAGTCTGAGGCTCTTCAAAAACGTAAACACAGAGCCACCCCGTGATTCCGCAGCCCCTCTCCTGGGTACACAGCCAAAGGAAGTAAAGTCTCCATATGTCAGAGATCTGCACTCCTGTGTTCACGGTGGCATCCTCCACAAGAGCCACGATACAGAAGCCACCTTGGTGTCTGCTGAGCACTGAGTGCACAAAGGGTAATGCGTGTGAATTGAAGAGGGTCGTTCTTGTGATGACACGGGTGGACTGGAGGACTTTACCCTAAGGGAAGTGAGCCAGATGCAGAAAGACAGTCACTGCACGACCTCACTTAAGTGTGGAGACTAATGAGTCAATCAGGCACTGAGAACAGCACCTACAGAGACTGGAGGGCCGGGGAGGAACACGGGTGGGGCTCTGGTCCATCCTGGCCATCTTTTGTGCAGCTGCAGTGAGCAGGTCCCAGGCCTGCCACCTCAGAGCTCCCCAGTCCCTGCCATCTCCCACAGAACATGAGGCTAGAGTGACATTGTAGTGTATCTGAACTCTGTAGGATCCGAACACAGAATTTAGAGAAGACAGACACTAAGACACATTCTGGGCAGACCCGTCCAGGTTCCAGGGGCCAGGGCTTAGCAATGGCTCCCCGAGGAACAATAAAAGCCTCTGTGTGTGTGTGTGTGTGTGTGCGCGCGCGCACACGCGTGCCTTGGCCAGCCTCTGTGGTGTGAATACACTGTGGTTGCCATTGATCTACCAATGGGGCCTCACTGGACACAGAGTTGGGAAGAGAAATGTCGAAGCTCATCAGCACCAATGTAGAACCATGGACAGAAATGACCCCAGATCACAGATATTCGTTTTTTTTTTAATTTTTTTTTTTAATATTTATTTTTTAGTTCTCGGCGGACACAACATCTTTGTTGGTATGTGGTGCTGAGGATCGAAGCCGGGCTGCATGCATGCCAGGCGAGCGCGCTACCGCTTGAGCCACCCCAGCGCCACAAATATTCGTTTGAATAATTAGGGACAGATGCTGTGGTTGTTGACTTCATTTAACAAATCACCCAATTTTAAGTTTATGTAACTCAGTTTTTAAGAATGGCTGTATGTAGCAGCTGGCTCTGGAAATTCCTGAACACTCTCCAGTGGGCTATAGTAGCAGGTAGGCGCTGGCTCTGGTGCACCTGGGGCCTGCCACCCCGTCCAAGGTTAAGGGCCTTTTCACTCACAGGAACTCTGCTTTATTTTTACTTTACTGTTTCTGGCCTGTCGTGCCTTCTAGAATGCGGGCTCCCACTCAACCTCCAGCTCCCAAGACCATGCCCGGTATACCACAGGCACCCAGTAAATGGATGAGCACCTCGGACGGGGTAGGTGTGTGTGCAATAAATAGTCATCAAGGGGTGAAAGTAAGAAAGAGAATGAGACCCTAACACAATGGGGTCATGGACGTCATGTTCAACGTGACCCTGCGTGCTTTCCCAGGATGCATGGAATTTGAGGCTGCTGTGTCGTCCCTTTGGGGAGGAGGACTGTGGAGATGGGGAGGAAGGGCAGAAACAACTTTAAAACACGAGAGGAGGGCTTTGCCAGACCTTGACCTCAGGGGTGTGACGCGCCCAGCTCTGCACACCTGAGACCTTGCAGCAGGAGGGCTGGTGTGTGTGGCCAGCTTCTGGGAAACCTGATTCCTCGTGCTGGCCTCAGCAGCTCTGGAGAGGAGGCTGAGGGGGGAGGCAGTGCTGGGGCATCGCCTAGATACCAGAGCAGACCCCCAGGTACCAGCCCCCCCCCCATGTGGCCCACTGTGTCCTTGTTTCTCACATGAACTAAATGAAGGATGAGTGAAATCTGGGATTATTCTGTTTTTATTGTTGTCGTTTTTTTGGGTTTTAGAGACACTGAGAGTTTTGACAGTTGTCTCTTTGAAATAGGACGCCAGCCCGATGCTTGTGTCCCTGCCCCCTGTGCCTGAGGGAGTCCTGGGGTGGGGGACACCTGAAGCCCTGCTCTGGAAGCAGGAGGCTGGAGTTCAGCTAAGAGTCAGGGAGCTGGGGTCCTGGGCCTGAGGCAGCAGGGGCTGGGGAGGCTCTTGGGGCAGCTGAGGAACTGTCACGTGGACGATCAACCGCCCCGAATCGTTTCCCGGATCCAGTTTTGGTACTTGCAGAGGTTGGTGTAGACACCTGGGTACCCGGGCCGGCCGCAGTGCTCCATCCCCCAGGACACGAGGCCCTGGAGCTGCTCTCCACATACCAGGGGTCCCCCAGAGTCACCCTGAGGGGAGGGACAGAGATGTGGTGGGGAGGGAGGCGGCTGAGCTGCCCACGGTCCAGCCCTGCTCAGGGGACAGGCCAGGGGCACTTGCCTCCCTCCTCCCGGGGTCCTGCACGTCTCCACCCAGCCCTGGGCTGGCCTGGGGGCCTTGGTGGTCACAGGGCCCTCTCCATCTTTGCTCTGTCTCCACAAAACTGTCTCTCTCCTCAGCCCTGCCGTCTCTGCCCACTCAGATGGTTCGAGGCCGGTGCTCCCCAAACCCTGTGTGTGGCACTGCTGTGCACCCCGGCCGCTTCCCACGACGCCCGTGTCCAGTTTCACCAACCACCCTGAAGGGGGTCACCCCCATTTACTGATGAGGAGACTCAGGCATGGAGGGGTGCAGGGCTAGGAGGCAGGGTCCCGGCTCTCGCAGCCCCTCCCCAGACAACCTGGCTACCAAGATTCTTTGGTCCTAAAGAGGCAGCTCCAAGCAACCCCCTCCCCCCGCCCACACCCGGGGCCTCACCTGACAGGAGTCCTTCCCGCCCTGGGGGACCCCGGCACACACCATGCCCGAGGTGATGGCTCCGGGATAGGCCTTCCGGCACTGCTGGTCTGAGGAGATGTCCACGTTCACGCACTGCAGCACCGTGGGGTACCTGACTGCGGGCATCGAGCAGGAAGACCCAGTAAGACCGGGCTCCGGGCCCAGCCTTCCTCCCTCAGGCCCGGGAGCCCAGGCCCTGGTCCTCCTCCCAGGGTGCAGGTGTCCTTACCCTCGGGGCTGGAGGTGGTGCCCCAGCCTGACACACGGCAGGAAGTCCCAGGGCTGGCGCAGGACTGGGCCACGGGGATGGGCCTCACTGCCCTCCCGAGCCGTGCGGGCTTCTCTAGCCTCAGCAGCATCAGGTCATTCTCGTGGGTCCGGGAGCGGTAGCCAGGGTGTGGCACCTGGCGCGTCACGCGCAGCACCTGCTGGGTAGCCTCCCACCTCCTCAGGTTGTGCTTGCCCAGGGACACCTGAAGGATCCTGGCCCGTGACCCCCCAGAGTAAGGCAGCTTACGGTGGGCCTCGGCCTCCTCCTGCCTCCAGCCCACCCCACCCCAGGTGACGTTTTCCCTAAGTCTAACTTGCTCCCCTCTAACTGCAGGCTGAACATTTTCTTATCCTTTTTCTTGTTTTGGGCATTCCCCCGCCCTCTCTCTTTGGGTAGCAGGCATTGAACCCAGGTGTGTTCAACCATCGAGCCTCATCCTCAGCCTCCTTTATTTTCTATTTTGAGACAAAGTCTCCCTAAGTTGCTTAGGGCCTCACTAAGTTGCTGAGGCTGGCCTTGAACCTGTGATCCTCCTGCCTTAGCCTCCTGAGTTGCTGGGATTACAGGCATGCACTGCCTTGCCCGGCCCCCGGCATCTCTTTTAGGCCATCCTTACTTGCCGTCCCTCTTCCCCTGAGCTGTGCTCTGGCTCTTGGCTTGGGTATAAGGTGGTGACTGGAGTTCCCGGCTCTGTCCCAGGGTCTGTGCAGGGTTCTACGCTCTGAGGCCTTGATGAGACCCCAGGTCATGGTTCTGGGCTCTAAGTCAGGATGGATATGCTGGAGCAGGTTCATCCTAATCCAGCCCGGACTCTGGGGTCCTGAGAGCTTGGGTTTTGACTCTGGCCTACGATCAGGATTCGGCATCAATTCTGAAGACAGCACACTTTCAGGTTCTGATGTGAGCTTTCGGGCTGAGGGTTCCATGTTTAGCAATGTGACCTGAGCTAACAGATTCTGAACTCTGGTTTGAGTGCTGGGTTCTGGGTTAAGCTCTTGTTCATGACTGGGTTTGAAACGACGACTTGAGCTCCATGCTCTGCTGGGGCTCAGGGGTCTAAATATTGGTCTGAACTTTTTATTTTTTTGCAGTACTAGGGATGGAACCCAGGCTCTTGTGCATGCTAGTCAAGCTCTCTACCACTGAGCCGCATCCCAGGCTGCTCTGAACCCTAGAATCTAGGCCAGGCTCTGAATGACAGATTATAGCCTGGGCCTTTGCTTATAGATTTGGCCTGAGCCATCCACCTCAAGAGGGGCTCTAAATGACCACCGGGATACCAGGTTCCAGAGGCTGGCTCTCACTCTGAGCGTCGTGTCCTAGACTTGGCGCTGGGCTCTATCTCTAGGTTCTAGATTGAACTTCAGTGTATGCCATTCATCTGCTTTGTAGGCTACTGAGCTTTAGCCTGCACTTGGACTTCAAGGTTGGGGTTTGGGTTCTTAGCTCTGGCCCGAGATCTGGGAGGGGCTCTGGGCTCTTATGGGTTGGGTCTGCATTCTGGTATTTAAACTCAGGTCTAAGAGAAGGGGGATGGGGGCCTGGACCCCTGGGTTAAGGGAACAGGGCTGGATTCTGGGGGATGGACCTCCCCTTAACCTCTCAATCCCCCCACCCCGCAGCCAGGTACTCTACTGCTCTGCCCGGGGAGTCTGGTTCTAGATGCTCAAAGATGATTGTAGAGGCTTAGACTCTCATCTGAGCTCAATCCACACTGTGAGCTGTCTTTCTTTTCGGGTGTTCTCTAGACCCCAAGCTGGGACCCGGTTACTAACTGGGTTCTGAGCTCAGGTGCTCGACTCTGAATGCACTTGGCATGAAGGGGCCAGGGGCTCACTCACGGGCGGGCACAGTGCGCGGCGGTGATGACCCAGCGGTCAGACAACAGGATCCCTCCACAGAAAAAGCGGCGCCCGGCACCGGCCAGCAGCGCGGCCTGCCACGGCTGCGAGTTCTGGATGCACGTGTAGCCACCGATGATCTTGTTGTCATCCCCTTGGCTCCTTGCCAGGCCTAGGAGTGGGCAGGGGTGGGGTGGGGAGGGGAAGGCTGCTGGACAAAGGCTCCCCACTTCTCTGCACCTTGTCCAGCGACAAAGCCCCTGCCTTCGAGCTAATCCCTGAGTCACTCATTCTTTCTGCCCCACCCAGTGTGTCCAGCATCGTCCCCATTATTGCCCCAACACAACCAGGGCGTTTTCTGACCTCTCCCCCACATCTCCTCCACAGTGTCTATAGTTTCCATGGCTACCTCCTCCTGCACCCACAACCCTTGACTCCATCCCCCATCAGTGAGGCTCACCTTCACTCCCCGCCATCAGTCCTTCCTGAACACGTCCAGGGGCTCCCTGTCTCTCCCCAACCTTCCGGCCCAGTGTGGCCCCGCCTCCACCCCGACCCCACGCACCCTGCCCTGCACCTACCAGCCCTACCCTCCTCCACCGTGCTGGGACAACAAGCCATTTCTTCCCTGACTGGACCAAGGAGAGCCCCATGGCCCCCCATGCTGATAGGACCCACTCAGGACCTAGAGTTTCCCCCAATTCCTTATTCGTTTTCTCTCCTCCCATCCCTGCCTCTCTCCCCATTCCCACCCCTTCCCAGTATCTCTACAGCTGGGAACTTCGGCCTCCAGTGCGCATGCGCCTCAGCCATGGCCCCAGACCACCTCTTCCCGTCTCACCAGGCCCCGAGCCTCCTGCTTCTCCAGAGCCCTTCCCTAAGTGCTTCCCAGACTCCAGGGAACCACTCTTCCCTTACCTACAGCCAAGACCTGAAGTGCTGTCAGCAGAAGGAACATTCTGGGCCTGAGGGTCAGGTCCTGGCACGTGCAGACGTAAACGGAGAGGAGGAGGAGCTGCAAGAGACTCAGGGCTGGGAGGCCCGGCCGGGAGGATCACTCACACCAAGACCCCCAGAGGCCCCAGAGACGGGGAGAGGGGCAGAGGGGAGAGGCCAGAGCCCCAGAGGGCGGGTCCAGGGGCTCCTCAGGAGGGAGGAAGGATGCTGAGCAGGCTAGGTCCCTCCTGCACAGGGCAAGCAGAAGCAGGGGTGGTGTCTCTTCCCGGTCACGCCACAGAGCCTTTTATCCCCGTGGAGAGGCTGGCTCTGTTCCCCACCGCCCTTCTGACAGGTTTTTTTTTTTTTTTTAATTGCCTGGTTTTCATTCCAGGACTGCCTGCTTCCCTCCCTCCTCTCTCCGGCCAGAGAAGCAGCCAGAGTTGTTAGGGAGAACCGCCCTGCTGAGAAGGACCCCGGGGCAGGGTGGGCCAGGGTGGGCAGGGAGCTCCCAGCCCGGGCAGCCGAGGATTTGGTGGTGGGATGGTGAAATCGGGGTGGGGGGGCTGGAGGAAGCCGCTGGGAGGGGCTGAGACCTACAGGGACAGAGGCTGCCCCAGGAGCGTGAGGCTGCATAGTGGATGGGAATAAGCCTTGAGAGGCAGGGACAGAGGACATCAAGAAATACAGGGACAGAGAGAGGATGCTGAAGGCAGGGGGGACCGAGGAGAGAGATGGAGGAGGAAGAGGAAGACCCCTGTGGCTGGGCAGGTGGGGGAGGCAGATGGAAAGAGAAGGGGTGGGGGGAGGCGGGGAAGGGGTTGAGGGAGGGGGGAAGGGGTGGGGGCAGGGAAGGGGTGCAGGAGGCAGGGAGGCCCTGGAGATGGTAGAGGAGAGCAGCAGTGCTGATGGAAGAGCCCCAGGCAGAGGAAGTGGTGATAACAGGAAGAAAAAGGCCGCACAGGTGAAGGGGACACAGATGGGGGACAGGGCTAGAGGACTAGGAGAAGGAGGGGTGGATGGAGAACAGGTTAGAGAGGGGCGGGATGAGATGTTGGGGACAGGAAGAACTGGGGATCCGTGGTATGGACTTTGCAAGGGTTGGGGAGACCCAAAGTGAGGTGGGCAGAGACACAGAGACGGTCATAGACCCGGATGGGGGAGGTGGAGGGAGGAGGCTGGCCCAACCTGGTGGGACCCTTGGAGCTGGGGGCTGCATCCTGCGGCCTGTCATCCTCAGCCCCTCCCCCAGCCTCTTAAATTCCCTAATGAATGTAATTTGTCTCTGGCCTCCAGCCCCAGGCCCAGGCAGGCAGTGACTCAGAAGGCTGTCTGCCTGCACTCTCCCTGGCTGACCCTGGGTGGGGCCGCGGCCTGTCTGCATCTCTGGGTCTGGTGTCTGTGTGTATCAGCGCGTTTGTGTTCCCCCTGAACTGTCCTGAAAGTCCTGGAGAGTGAGATGCATTGACAGAAGAAGGCCCTCACTGAAGAGAGACGATCCTGGGAGTCTACCTGGTTCTGGGTTTGATGCGGTGGTGGTTACACAAACTTACACAGGCAATAAAGTGACAAGACAACGCATGTGCAAGAGAGCACGCTCGTTCACGCACAGCCAAAGATGCATTTTAACAATGGACGTGGAATAAAGTCTGTAGTCCAGTTAGCGATATGGTACCCACGGTTGAATTCCTGGTACATCACAGTACAGGATGATAGGATTCGCTGTCACATATTCGTACACCTACGCTGTAGATTTCCTGATTTGGTATTGAGCGCCATTGGAAGAAGTCGGGAGGGCACTTGGAATTCTGTCCTGTAGGTGCCACTTCACATAGAGGACACAGGACCGTATTATCTCAAAACAGACAGCTAAAGACAAAAAAGAATTCCTCTTTCTAATGAGAACACCCTGCTTAGCAGCAGGCCCTGGTGACCCCTGGGCTACCTCTGGGGATGCAGCCTCCAAGGAAGCTCAGCTAACTGTGGTGGGGCCCAAGGACCCGCCTGCCCCTGCTGGGCGTGTCACTGCCAGGTTCCCCAGCCTCTCCCTCCAGACTAAACTCCTGGGGATCCACCTGCCACTGCCCTCCGCTGCTCGGCAGAATCTTGTTTGCCATGACATGGGTGCTCCATAGATACCTGATGAGTGAAGGCCACAGTCCCTGCCCTCCAGGAGCTGGACACCCCATGGGATAGGAGACCGGGCAGCAGGAGACTCCTGGTGTCCTCTGTGCGGGAGGGGACTGATGGAGCTCCAGAGCCACGGAGAGGCTCCAGGGTCTGCAGACGGATGCGGGTCCTCCGGGGTCCTCCGGGGAGGGGTGTGGTGTGTGGCGGGAGTGGGAGGGGTCTTTGGCAGGAGGATGAGGACAGAAGCAGCAGGGGCGGGGGCTGCCCGCTGAGGGCGCAGGGTGAGGGGTGTCGCGATTCTGAGTAGGGAGAGAAGAGTGGTCAGAATGGGCATGGGGTGTGGCGCCTACACAGACCGCGGGCAGGTGGAGCACAGCGCCTGCCTGCTGTCCCCGGCGGACCAGAGCGGCTCCCGACCCAAGGGAGACCCACAGCTTTGGGCGAGCCAGGCAGGAGGGACTGGAGAGCCGGGAAGACACCAGGAGAGTGGTGTCCCGAAGTTGCGTGAAGTCCTGTCGTTGATATTTAAACTTCTAAGAAATTCCTATTTTTTTTTTTTATCATTGTAAGACGTACACTAAAATTACCAATTGACCATTTCTTCAGTGCAGTTCAGTAGGGTTATGTTCTGCCGCCGTCCTGGGCGTCCACGTCCTCAGAACGTTTCTACCAACCAGCCACACGCTGCACCCATTGAATAATCACATCCCTCCGACTCCAGCCCCTGTGCCTGCTTTCTATTCCTGGGAACCTGACCCCCTGGGCGCCTCATATGAGAACGTTGGCCCCTGGAGTCTGGCCTGTCTCTTAGCCCGAGGTCCTGGGGTTCACCCCTGCTGCAGCAGCTTTCAAATGCCCTTCCTTTTCAAGGCTGAGTAATATTCTCTTGAATGTACGGTCTGCTCCGCTCACCTGGCTCTGTTCTGTCTGGTATTACCTGCCTCCCTCCCCCTTTTCCTATTTCTCTTCCTTCCTCTTTCTCTCTCTCCCACCTTTCTTTTCTCTCCCTCCCTCTTCTTAACCAATATTTATTGACCACCTGCTATGTACCTATCCCTCATGGTTCTAGGCACTGGGGAAAGAGTAGTGACAAAATACACCAAAACAAAACAAAACATCCCTGCCTTGTATTCTAGGAGAAAGAGAAGAGAAATGTAAGTATAATATTACAAGTTATTAGGGCTTATGAGAGGGAGAAGTGAATGGAAAGGCCTTGAGGTAGAGAGGGCCTGGCGGGTTTGGGGACCATCGAGGAGACCAGTGTGGCTGCAAAGGAGCAGGAGAAGGAGGCAGTGACTCGTGGAAGTCCGGGCTCTGTACGGCAGGCTCTGTCTTGCCCCCCACTTTACAGACTGGGAGATTGAGGTGGAGAGAGAGGAAGTCCCTTGGCCAGGGTCACCCAGCTGGAAAGGACAGGAGGCAGCATACAGCTCTCACAACTGCCCCTGGACTTCTCTGTACTGTCCCCGGGGACCTGCCGGCTGCATCTGCATGCTTACGTGTGTGTCCAACAGGATTTTAATGCACCCACCCTATCCTTCCCCTTGGCAGGCAGCTACCCTCTGACCCTCGCCCTAGGGACAAGGAAGCCCAGCTGGTCGGTCCTTCCCTGGTTGCACAAGGCTAAGTGGAGACGCCACTCCACCATGCGAACCCAGGCGGAGGGCTCTTCACCTAGAACAAAAGGGGCAGATGGAGCAACCGGCTGGGGGTGCGGTCAGTCCTGGACCAGGAACTTCCATTGTTGGAGGAAGGAAGGAGGAAAAGGCGGGTGGGGTTGGTGGGTGTGGGTTAGTGGCAGGGAGTCGAGGCCAGGCCTTGGTGGGGGCTTCTGTTTTCTGCAGCTGGGCGGGTGGGCCCTGGAGGCCGATGGCGAGGTGTCCAGGTGGAACTGGCGACCATCTGTTTGAGCATCCAGCAGGTAGATGCTTTTGTTGACTTTTTGGTCTTCTCTCCAGCAGCCTGGACGGGCAGGGAGAAGTCACCCGCAGGACAGGAGTGGAGGCTGCGGGGATGCTGAGACTGGGGAGTGGACGGTGAGCAGGGAGGAGAGGTCCTCACGGCCAGGAAGTGAAGACAGGGGGTTTGTGGGGGGCTGCCTGGGGAGGGTCGGGCGCCCCTGGGGGGAGAACAGGTACAGCAGAGCCACCCACAGCACCGGGAGCTGGAGGCTGCGGCCGTGGGGCTTGGTGGTCTCTGGTGGAGCCCTTCTGGGGCTGGAGGTAGAGGGGGCCGTGACGGTGGGGAGTGGTCTCTGCTGTGGAGGTGACAGGGCTGGGGATCTGGGCCCCTCTTTCTCCTGGGCTGAGGACTCCCAGTGCCACCAAAGCCCACCCCGTCTCCACTTCCTCCCTTACCCCGTGGGCTCAGTGCTTGGGAGGGGATCCTGGGTAGGGCTCAGTCAGGAGCCAGGCCTTGGACAGGAGCATCCGTGCAAGTGGCACAGCCAGGACTTGCGTGGAGATCGCCTTCGGTGAAAGGTGCCTCCTGTGTACTGTTGAGGGCCAGGGCCCTGTTTGTGACATTCCGGATGCAGTGTGATTGGGTGTGCAGGGAGCAGACCCGACAGGCTCTTGGTTGGCAGTGCTTTAGCGCCCACCACACTCTGGGGCGCAGTCCTCCTGCCAGCCCTGGGGGGTGCCCACAAAGACACCGTTTTATAGATGAGGAGAAATGAGGTCAGGTGCCCAACTCTGCTCAGCTGGGATTTGAACCCAGGCCCGGCTGACTGATACCCCCTGCTGCTGATCTCACGGGGCTCCAATTACTCAGACTCTCTCTGGGCGACCTCTGACGTGTCTGAGTCTGCACCTGTATCTGTGACGTGCCAGGAAGCCTCTGCGTGCACACCTGGGTGCCCCCGATGTGTGGGGACAGCGTCCCTGACCCTCTCCCCTCCCTCTCAACTGGCTCCCATTTATTTCACACAAGCCATGGTCCCCCCACCTGTCCCTGAGCCTCCCCTGTTCCTCTGCTCAGCTGCTCAGGCCAAAAGCTGGGGCTGGTCCTCTCACCTCCCACTTTGGCAGTTCCTGTCACCTTGGCTCCAGAATGGACGACGAAGAATCCACCCACATGCATCTTCTCGGTTGCCCTTGTACAGGCCACCCTTATCTCTCACTTGCACAGGTGCAAGA